AAATTATATACGGACTATAAACTAATTAAATAAAATTCGATTATTCCCAAAGACCACTGATGAAGAGTACTTGGCAATACTCGAAACAGCGTTTTTTTACAACTCTAAAAGAAAAAATTAGCTTTAGTAGTAACTTCGGTCTCTGTTATTAATTACATATCAAAACGGTAATTTATGATATTATTTCAAAATTAGTTTGGAAATAATGTTTTACACGATCGAAAAATTTTGAAGAAAAATAAAACTCATGAATAAGAAAAATTCAAAATTGTTTTTTTTTTTTATTTCAAAAAAAAAATCTCTACAAAAGTTTCGTTACCGAACATATTAAATTCAAATACTGTAAAATTCATATCAAAAAAGTTATAAAAATTAAGAAGTTATTGAATAATATACATATATTAATTTTATGTGTTTATGTTATTTGTGTTTTATGCTCTGACACTAAAACTATATTGTTTAAATTAGCTATTGATGAATATAATTACAAATTTTTTACTATTTCCGCATATTGGCCTCTGCATCTAGCTATATTTGTAAAGCTGCCGAACTCGCATATTTGGGTCCATTGACATGTTTCGCAGCCAAGAAAATTGTTTATAACCAATTGTAAGTGTTGTTATGTAAAGTACTTTTTAAATATTAATTGCCTGGCAACTCTGGCCTGTCATTATTCTATATTCCTTTTGTAATTATTATTCATTATTCATTTTTAGTATAGTTAATAAAGCGAAGTAAAGAACATGTTAAAAATACATCGGACCGTGTTTCACTTTTGCTAAAAATATATAATAGGTTATGGGCCCAGCACGCTTCCACTGCGAAGTAAAAAGCACGTGCACATAAAAAGTAGATTTAATACGTGTATACAAATGTCGGGAACGGTGATTCGAGTTGAACCGCTTAACGCGGAAAACTACGATACATGGAAATTACAAATGAAAGCTATTCTCATAAAAAACGATTTATGGTCATATGTCGAAGGTACTGCGTCGTGTCCAACGGGCGAAGGGGCTGCAAAATGGATCAGCTTTGATCAGAAAGCGTGTGCTGATATAATGTTATCAGTAAGTGCATCAGAATTAAGATTAATTGCAGAATGCACAAATTCAAACGAAATGTGGATGAAACTACAAGCCACATATTCATCAAAAGGGCCTGCGCGCAAGGCGACGTTGCTGAAAAAGGTTGCACTTTCGCGCATGAAGGAGGGTGGAAAGGTTAGAGAGCACCTCAACGATTTTTTTGAAGCCGTGGTGAAATTAAAGGAAATCGACGTCACCATCGGGGATGAGCTTCTGGCCATACTGCTCCTATATAGCCTACCCGATTCTTTTAATACTTTCAGGTGCGCGTTAGAAACGCGCGACGAGCTGCCAAAGCCAGACATACTTCGAGTGAAAATATTAGAAGAAGCTGAATCGCAAAGGACAAAAGAAGACAGACATAGTGATGAAAACTCTCTATACATAAATCGAAATAAAAACCGAAACGCAAAACAAAACAAACGATACAGTGATTCTAAACGAAACAAACAATGTTTTAATTGTGGCAAAATCGGACATTTTGCACGTGAATGTAAAAATAAAGCAAAAGCTGAAAATAACACGCAATTGAAAAATTCGGAAAAATCTGTAAACAATAATTTTAGCTATCATGTTGAAGATGCATTTATTAGCTCAATAAAAGAAAATTATTGGTGCCTAGATAGTGGATGTACTGCCCATTTAAGTGCAAACCGTGAATATTTTACAGACTTTCAAAAATCGAATAAAGTGCTTAACTTAGCAAACGACAACACAACAAATATAAACGGCGTCGGTAAAATGAAAATAACTGTAGACGTATACGGTCGTGATAATAACATTGATCTTAAAGAAGTTCTATATGTCGAGGACTTGCGTACAAGTCTACTTTCTGTATCAAAAATAGTAGACAGCGGATATGAAGTGCATTTTCGCCCTTCAGATGCAATCGTATTGGACAAATATCAGAAGGTTATAACTCGAGCGAAAAGATGTGGAAATCTTTTTATTGTTGAAAATAAAAATCATTTTGCACAAGTTGCTGAAGAAAAATGTGACATTGAAAAGTGGCACCAGAAAATGGGCCACATAAATGAAAACGATCTTAAAAAAATTGGCTAGTAATAACCTAGTACACGGATTAAAATTAAATCCTAAACAAAAACTTCCGACTTGCGAAATTTGTATTAGTGAAAAACAAATACAAAAACCATTTCCTAAGAGTAAAGAAACTAGAACAAGTGATTTATTAGAGATCGTGCATAGTGATGTGTGCGGACCAATGAGAACAGCATCAAATTCGGATGCAAAATATTTCGTAACATTTATTGATGACAAATCACACTATTGTCATGTATATTTTATAAAACAAAAATCCGATGTATTAAATGTATTTAAGCAATACAAAAGAGCAGTAGAAACATTTACGGGTAAACGAATTAAGGCTTTACAATCAGACAATGGTAGAGAATACGTTAATTCTGAATTTAATTTATTCTTGAGGAAATTTGGTATACAAAGACGCTTAACTGCTCCATATACGCCGGAGCAAAATGGTATTGCTGAACGTAAAAACAGAACTCTAGTTGAAATGGCCCGTTGCATGATGAAACAAGCTGAAGTTCCGCCAAATTTTTGGGCAGAGGCCATAAATACAGCGTGCTATATTCGAAATAGGTGTCCTACAAAAGCATTGAACGGTGTAGTACCGCACAAGTTGTGGACTGGTAAAATGCCAACTATTGTACATTTTCAAGTATTTGGCTCTAAAGCATATGTCCTAAAAAAGGATAAGACTAGAGATAAATTCGATTCTAAGTCAGAACCTTACATGTTTGTTGGATATTCAAACGAAGCGAAAGCCTATCGGCTGTGGTCACCTACAAAACGAAATATAACAATAAGCCGTGATGTCGTGTTCGTAAACAAAAATATCTATCATAATAAATACGAAAACATTTATATTAACAATGAAAATGACTGCCAAACAAATGATTATATCGATATTGCGTTCGAAAATTCTGAAAATCAGAAACCGTCGGTCAATCCGAAAATTGTAGAAAATACAGATACGCGAGAAGAAAACTCCATTCGTAGAAGAGGTCGCCCGAGACTTATTCGCACAAATTCACGCGGTAGGCCTCGAAAAGAATATTACACGTCAAATCGGAATGGTGAAGAATCATCCAACGAAGACGAAAATACAAGTTCAGTAAGAAAAATTGCTGATAAAAACCATTCAGATGATGAACCTGACAACAACGTTTTTGAAGATTGTGAAATGGCGTTTCTCACTACATATCAAACTCCAGTAACGATTTTGGAGGCACTTGAAAGCGATGAAACAAATTCCTGGTCAAAAGCGCTAGAAGACGAAATGGTGGCACAACTAAAGAATAAAACATGGGAAGTGGTCGAAAGACCGAAATCACGAAAAGTTATCGGGAATAGATTCGTGCTTCGAACTAAAGATGACGGAAAACAGAAAGTACGATTAGTAGCGAAGGGTTTTGCACAACGACCAGGTGAAGACTTTCATGATACGTTTTCTCCAGTCGCTCGTTCAACATCTATAAGACTACTTGCGGCACTGGCAGCAAAAATGGATTTGGAGATCCATCAGATGGATGTCATTACAGCATACCTAAATGGAGAGCTCGAAGAGAGTGTCTTCATGGAAATTCCCGATTATCTTATACCATTCCTGAACAAAGTTGTTTCATCAAAACCAGTGGGAAAAACTTCAACAATATTGTGTGGAAAAGTTAAAGAAACAGCGCAGCATTGGTTAAAGGCGATTAAGTCAAGTAAGTCACCTGTATGTTTATTAAAGAAAGCTCTTTATGGACTCCGTCAGTCTGGGCTATCATGGTACATGAAATTGACAAAGAAACTACAGAATATGGGTCTAAGTGCAGTACAACAGGATCCTTGTGTATTCACTAAGCGAGAAGGCAACGACATTGTTTTAATGACAATATATGTAGATGATTTACTAATAGCGTCCAATAATAAGTTTCGTATAAAAGAAATAAAGGCTGCACTTGCGAATGATTTCGAAATGAAGGATTTGGGAATAGTAAGTAATTGTCTTGGCATCGAGTTTCATCAAAATTTAAGCAAGCATCAAGTTTTTCTTTCACAAGAGAAGTATGCAAAAAGCATCATTGAAAAGTTCAATATGAAAGACTGTAAACCAGTGAAGACTCCCATAGAATTGAACATTAAGTTAACGAAACCAACAAAAATTGATGAAGGTGTTATGAAGATGTATCCCTATCAAAGCTTGATAGGAGCATTAATGTACTTAGCTGTTACAACTCGACCTGAATATTGCGTTTGCTGTAAACTTTCTTAGCCAGTTCAATTCAAATTATAACGTGGAACATTGGAAAGCAGCAAAACGAATTCTAAGATACCTTAAAGGTACAAGCAACTATGGTCTATTGTATGAGAAAAACAATGAAGAATTGTATGGTCTGGTTGACGCTGATTGGGGCGCTGACTTAAACGATAGACGTTCATATTCAGGGTATGCGTTCATTATATCAGGAGCAGCGATATGTTGGGAAGCTCGAAAGCAACGTATAGTAGCGCTTTCAAGCACTGAATCAGAATATATGGCCATATCTGAGGCCACAAAAGAAGCGTTATATCTAAAGGCAATCCTTGATGATGTTGGCATTACAAGTAAGACAATTGAAATCTTTAATGATAATCAAAGCGCTCAAAAATTAACGGAAAGCTTCAGGTATCATCCACGGACAAAGCACATTGATATTCGTTATCACTTTATTCGCAGCAAGGTTAACGACGGCACTGTTAAAATCAAATATATGCCAACAGAAGAAATGCCCGCAGACGTC